CTTTCTCGAAATCTATTACAACATCGGATGGTGAAATAGTTATATTGTTTTGGAAACTATATTCACAAATAGATTTTAAGCAATTAGTGTATGATATTGTACTTTTATCGGAGAGTAAACATATAACGAGTGGTATATAATAACCGTTGATAAAACCATGTATTGTAAACATTTGTGTAAAGTATTTAGGGCAGTATGAAAACGTACCATCCATGTACAACCATTTTGATAACGCAAGAGCTTTTAAATTAGAAATGCAACTGAAAACAACATATTTCAACTCCTTGTTGTTTATTAATAAAAATAACTCATCTCTATTTGTTTGAACACCGCGTTCGTCAAGAATTAATTGAACTTCTTCGATTGATTTAGGGAATGGAGGCAATGTCTTTCTTCTAGCATTATATATATTTCTTTTTATATTACGTACATCACTTACTTGCAAATGTTCCGTTAGTGGCAAATTTTTAATAGCGTTACAAAATATTTTACTTGGTTTGGTACATATATCTTCAGTTGCCTTGCGTTTTACAATACCAGTCACGAATTGTTTTTGGAGGTTTTGATCACTTAAAGATTTATGGTTATGGTTTAAATTTTGTTCAGTGATTATTTCGTCATCACCTACCGTTTTTAAAAATGCTGTGCAAGTTTTAACTGTACATCGCCACTTATCCTCACCCGAACTCAGAGGCCGATTAGTTTTCCGAAATTTAAATTTTTCAATTATTTTCAAGCTTTTTTCGCGCTGCGAAACGAATTGTTCAGCCATCGTGACTTCACTGATTAAACTGAATACGATATGTACTAAGTAGCCCCATGCCGGATGTAGTGATTGATCCATCAGTAGATACCGGTATTACTGCAATAACTATTCGATAACGTGTTGGTATTTTTAGACAGCACTATAATTTCTGTGATATAATTGCAAAAGTACACAATCATAGTGACTTTAATAATTCAAAAGTTTTATATATTTTACAAACGGCGCGCAGCTGAATTTGTAAGTACCTTTTAACATAGATAGAAATTTGGGCGCAGTTTACATTATACCTTTTTAATATGGATAACAATTCGGGCGCAGTTTACATTATACCTTTTTAACATAGATAAAAATTCGGGCGCAGCTTACAAAAAAAAAGGTCATTTGGGCGCAGTTTACGTATGCCCCTATTTTCATTTCAAAAATTGATTCACCTTTCCAAATCTTGTCTTTCAACTTCAATGTTAGTTCCCTAATCTGCCTATCGATCCACTCAATTTCCAATTTTTTACTGCTTAAGTTCTTAACAAACTACTTATTAAATAAATCACTTTTCCAAATAATGAAAACAGAAAATAAGGACCTCTGTTCCTAAAAAAATAATCTGCTTCTTCCTCCTAATCTGTTAAGTAATATGGTAAATGCTAATCAGTAATCAATGCCTATCGAGTATAATGAAATGTGGGTTTTTAAATTTGCCTCATTAATGAGGTACAAATATAAATACTGCTGCAAAATAGTAAGTAAGCTATATATAGTCATGTAAGTAGCCTTGAATTATTTTTTTAGTGACTAGAAATGTTTGCTTTTCAACTACAATGTTAGAATCATTTCTAAATAATCCGTATCAGACCTGCAAAGTATGCTCATTGAATGCTTGATTGAGGGTATACGTGCGTATATATACAAATTAATCGATCAAAGTGTACAGTGCTGTATTTAATGTATAACTTATTCATATACAAATTGAACGCATTTCGCATTACAGGCACATAATCGTGTAAATTACACACGATCCGAACATCACATAATATATAAATTCTACCTACGATACTCCAACTATACGGTTCAAAAAATGGTTATCATTTTACAACGCACAATGTCTATGATGTATATAGCGGCGAATATAAGTCGTGCATTTTGTATATCATTCGTTTATACCATTTCATTGATATAATTGCCTTGTCCATTGGTATGATACCATATACAGACAACTGATGCACAGAGATTTTTTTTTTTAATAACTGCATTACGACAATTATTATTTTCCCCGGCGAGACATGCACTATAATATGTACACACTCACACACGTATAAAATATATATTATATATACAGTATAATACGTCAATATATATGTACAACAACGGTTAGGTATAATAGGTAAATGTTTAGTATATATATAAATATATATCATTAAACATAATATTAAATACTGACTACTGTACATTACATGTATTAGCGCGATATGGAAGATGATGTACTGTCAACGTAAAGAGCTATATACGTACCTTACACGATATCGACTTGGGTATACGAGTTGTGGAAAACGCATCCATGGCCTAAATATGGTATAATGTATGGTATATGATATTCTGAGGATTTAACTCTTCACTCTTGTTTAGTTCGGACAAATCACTATATGCAGGTACGCGTATCGGCGCGATTCCATACATTATATAACCATATCAGAATAATATTTCGTCCATTGGAAATATTTTCGCCCTCGAGGCACATTGACCACTCGCACTACATAGTCGTAAAATACGCCGTGGGTATACTAATATATTATACACCAATGTAATCTATATAGATGTATAGAAAACGAATAATAATTAATCGTCGTGGTTCGCTCGTTATTAACGGAATAGCCTTCGTGCACGTCGGTGACTGTCAATAAGTCGGTTAAAATTTCAAGACCAACGTTAAAAAAAAAAATATTTAAATACCAGATATAGTCGTATTATATTACACGCGGGTATATCTGTGTATAATATATTATATATATATACGAGAGAAAACGAGCACGCGACTTACCAATATTATATTATTACACGCATATTATCTAGTATATTAGGTACGTGATTCTTTTTCTCTCGAGCTAGTGCATAAATCAATGTTATTCGTTTTTGCGTACAAACATATCAAACAAAATTAGTCGTTTTTATATTTACGGATATCTCATGTCTTTATAACTCGACTTAATGAATATAAATGACGCAAATGTCTGTGCAGTCGGCGGAGAGTTTTTTAACAATATTTTCGAACGACTTGCCTGCTATATATTACTCAAGTGGCTGGTTATTATACATTTGCATATTGCAGATACACACGCAAGCGCACGTGTACATGAGGTATTACTTATTATTCCCAACGAGATGCACATATTATCCCGTCGGCAATGCGGTCATCTGATCCATCAAACCTCGCATATATGATTTAATATTATATATAATATATATATATATACAATAACCTATATTATAATGACTATATATACATACCTACGAGTGTCGAGTACCTATCTACGTTTTCGGACGAACTCTTTCGGAGGCGTCACAGCGTTATATAAATATATAATATATGTATTACCTACACACGATTATTGTTCCGTTAAGTACATATGATGTTTCGTGTGCGCGCGTACAATTAGTCGGTAAACAGCTGATGGCTAAGCGTCTCAGACGATTTATTATTCACTCGAGCTGTATACATAATATTATAGTGTACGATTTGTACCTACATAAATAAAGGTATAGGTAAATGCGTTGTATACAGCTGCAGTAACACCATTATAATAATATGATTCACAAAGTGCGCTGTTTTCAATCAATATCCCAAACGCAATTGGACAACTACTTGACGAAAATTAAAACTGGTTAAGAAATCGTCACGGGTTGATTATAAATTATAACAGGTACCTGCGTCTCGTCCAACTTCATATTGCAGTAGATATAGTAATATTATATACATCGAGTATACACTGCACTATATACGGTCGTCATAACGATTAACGATGAGTTATTTGTCAGATAAATCAATAACTCATAGAATATTACCATGGATGCAGTATATACACTATACAGGTACCTACGTCCTACACGCGCGGTATCGCACCATTATCGAGCAGTACCTATAGGCTGTTTTTATGAGAGGGAGCAAATATATTTTCATCCCCAAATTATTTCTACCGTTCCAACCCCACAATAATACAATATACTCCATACATATGATGAGTAAAATATATTTTTGGCTCGCTTTTAAATTGTTGCGATACTGATAATATGCAATACCACTAATCCTCATAAGCCCACTTTTCGAAAGCAACCACGTTTTAAATCTACAGCAGAAATTAAAAAAAATATAGTAAATTAATTTATTAAAATGCATTACCATATATAGGTGTGTGTTAAAAAAAATAATAACCCAAATTATTTGCATTTTATAATTATACGCAAATGCCCTGCAGCAATAGAATAGCATTTAGTTACTTTCAAAAGTTATAACAGGATGGTTTTCAAAACTGCTAAATTTATATTGCAATACACCATTATATTACTGATGCTAGCAAAAAACTATAAAAAAATTTTTCGTCAATATCGTATACATACAATTTAAATATGATTAAATATAATTCACCGTACGGGCCACGGCGGGGGGCAAATGTATTTATCACCACTCCCCTAAAGGTAGATATCCCGTTGATAGCATGCACGTCTATAGTATTTAGATTTGATGACGAGTACGAACTTAAATAATATAAATCAACAAACTCGGGTATATACCGCACACGAGGAGGCTGTGAAACGGGCGCAATAGAAACGAGTATATTATTATCTATGGAGACTATAATAGGTGAATTTATTATAGTGAGAAACTGTGAGGGTGTGTGTGTGTGTGTGTGTGCCCGATCGCACTTTATTTTTGGGGACGTGCGCCTAATATAATAATTATTATATTATATCAACCACTTCATATACGTTAACACGCTCCTGGCACTATAATATTTATTTTACAAACTGTAATATAGTTATAATAACACATCGTTTAAATATTTTATACGCTTCGTATAATAGGTGTAGTCGGTACATACACGCCGATAAAACCACTAAGTAGTTAATATATAATATAGGTATTTATTTATATTTTATGAATGTATTATACGCACTTATAACGCACTGCGGGCTGCAGACGAATAACGACTTGATTGAGATTACAATACCTAATATAAAAGCCTCAACAGTGTATAGCTATTTACGTACAATAATTTATACAGTATTATCACGTATTTTGTTTATAACCACTGATGTATATCAGCCCATCGAAAATTATTAAACCTTCGAAATAAAAAAATAGAAACGATTTTTATTCCGTTTGTTATTAATTTATTAATATCCGTTGTTTTTTATAGCACTCTAAACGAAATGTATTCGTCTTGGGGACAAATACAGTATTAATAGCACATTATTATCGCTACATAAAATCTATTAAAATTATTGTAAGTAATGAACATAGTACGTGATATTAAAGTATAATTTTATTCCGCCTGATGCGGCAGAGTATATTTTTAGTATTAACCACCTGATGGAATAGTGGACTTAAAAGGTCTTAGTAGGAATATCCGTTTAAAAATATTTTTACATTAAAGTTTTTTAGGTTTATGACAAAATTAACAGAAAAAATTATTACAAAACAAATATTCGAAGAATAAGATATAATATCATATTACAGGTTCATATTATTAATAATTTGTACCGATTTATATAGAAGTAAATTAAGCAGTACCTATCACAATAATTGTCAAGATTAATTAGTCATCATAATAAAAAATAATAATAACCAATTAATATCTTCGATATAATAAGACTCATTTATATTTCTTATGTAATATTCTGAACTATATATGACGCGGTTTTTTATAAGTAAATAAGAATTTTTCAATTAAAAACACAATTTACTTGGAAGTTTATTTTTACCGTTAAAATGATTGCGTCGATTACTTATACGAAGCAATGTTGTTTTTAATTTCCCGTTAATTGTATTAAATTGTGTTCATTATAGATAAAATCGTTTAATGTTTTACACGTGCCGGGTAAAAAGTTAATTGAACCACAAATTGCATAGGTAGCTCAGTAGCTGTGGTGGAAACAAGGTCTATAAAACTTCGATAACAACCTACTATAAAGTTGATAAATTCTTCAAAATGAAACCATCTTAGAGTAAATAGTATTTTATACGAAAATTCAAAGAAAACATTTTAGAATTAATTATTCTAATAACTATTTTTTAATAACCAATAAAAATAATTAGTACCTAGGTAGCGAGTAGTGACTACTGACTAGAGCGATTAGCGAGTATAAAACTATGATTTAAGACTCTTTTTGAAATGGACATTTTTAAATCCAATTTAAAGGAGTAATTATGAAGAATACAATTATACAACGAACCATGATATTAAGATATTAATTAAAAAATTTCATTTAATGCTCACGTTTTTAATTGGTAGGTATATAACCTATTTTAAAAAATATTAGAAGTATTTGAGGATCATTATGACAGGATAAAAAAGATATTTCATAAAATGTTAATTTGTTTTATAACAGTTATAATACAATTATATAGAAAAACTAAACGATTATTATAATTTTTAGTCTGGCTTAAGCTCGAAATAAAAACATTAAAATATTTATTTTCCTTTTTTTTCTTATATGGTTTCACAACCGAGGCACATTTTGTAAATATGTTTAGTAGTTTAATTTTTGCCCAATTCGTATATCTGAGTTACGAAAACGCTTTAAAAATTGAATAACTGCTAATTATAGGAATTTCTGTTAAGTACCTACCTATTTTTCAAATATTCGGGAAGGTATAAACATGTACATTGTACAACCATGATGAAGAATATACCTATATAATATTTTTAGTATATATATGACGTATAAACTATTGGCCGTAAAAAAATTTGCTCACCTGGAGATTTAAATAGCTTATTGGTTATAGGATATAATATTATGGAAGGAGTACTTTAATATTTTTAAACAGAAGACGTCACCCACCCCCGCGCCCTCACCGAACAAACTCAAGCACCGGATATATGAGTACCTACTACCTACGTGTATGAACTATATACTATAGTATATTCCACACTTCATGGGGTCGTGGGGATATATTATTAATTAGTATGTACCCACTAAAATTTTTCAAGGAGCCGATGAATATATTTTTCGTAGATATTAATGATATTGTAACATGGAATAAAACTCAAATCTTTTCTAACGCTCACAATATTATTATAAAGACACATCACAGCACGCGAACACGATTAGACAATTCGATAATATTAAACGGCATGAATACAATATATTATAATAATTGTTTTTGTTTTTTGTGCCTGTTTCACGACGATGTACAGACAGATTAGCAGCGGGCGTCGGTGATCGGATGGAGGACGAGTGCGACGGCGGTGCCGGCTGAAGAAGAGCGGACCGCAAAAGTAGTCGTCGCCGCCGTCTCGTGCTGCAGAGCGGCGTGCGCGGTCGCCAACGACACGAATTTTGATATTATTATGACGTCTCGTTCACAGCCCTCGCCGGTGTTGCTGCTCTTGCTCACCCTCCTGTGGGACACCGTTTCCGGCACCGTTTCCATCACCCGGCATCATCGTGGAGACGTGTTCGACGTGTCAGGTAATCGACTGCGAATTAGACAATACGATTATTTTCACAGATTAATCACTACAATATCGGTTACGAATCACATGCAGTAAAGTCGTATTTCTATTATAGCGGATTTTGACGATATGGGAGGGGGGTTGATAATATCGATGGACGCGAGTTACATAGTTGTATAGACACTGAAAACAACATATTTTTTTACGATGGCGCCACTGAGGGAAGGAGGGTATCCGGGTCTAGAACAGGTGTCCCAAACAACTATTATAGTGAGCTACACTAAAACTTGTGTAGTTTCTAGTGATCTATTTAGTTTTAATATTTAACCATGAATATTTTCTAAAATTTTTACAACATTGCAATTTTTCAATATAATATAGTATATTTTATAGTATTTTATAAACTCGTAAATATTATAACTACATATGACAATAATTGACAATCGAATCATAACTGCCGACAACTGAGAAAAGTCTCGGCGGCGGCTTTCATAAAAATGTACAGTTCATTCTATTTTCATACCTATTATTTATTAATGTATATAGATTATGCGATTATGAATGGGATCGACTGCGATGGTGGTATGATAAAAAATATCGTATCGCAATTTACCTTTATACAACTGAAGATTGACAGATTGGGGAGGGTTCCCGTTGTAGACCCACTTGAGTCATTTATTTTATGAATTCGTAGCAAATTATTACTTATTTTATTGAAAATGTTGTAACGCTATTATTATAATATACATTATACACTACAAGTGCAGAATATTATCTCAAGAAATGTCTGGTTGCGCTACCGATGTGTTTTATTGCAATTTGCAATATGCTATAATATCATATATGTATAGTGTCGTCACATCACGAATATCACGTTATCGTTCGCACAAGCTACCTGTTTAGCACATATATTATTTAGTTATTACGTAAATGAAACACAGCGTTAGAGATAGATAGTAAAAACTGTCTTTGTTGTTTTTAACTGAATATCAGCATTCTGAGCAATAAAATATTGCCAAGGAATATCGTAAAAAACGGTACTGTCGTACGGTTAGGTTTTAAATAAAAAATCTCACTCCAGTAATATCTGTAACTTTGTGAGACCGATGTGTGTAAACGCGTTTTTACAAAATCGACGCAGTAAAATAATAATATAAATTCTTGTGAGAAGTTTTTTGTTGTTATTATATACTCCTGAGGGATGTTCACTGTTCAAGTATAAACATTTACCATTATAGATTATAAGTAGATATAAATACCGCACGAAAGAAACGGTGCCGGGACACACACAATAATATAATAATGTATTTTATACGAATAAGTTCATATAGTAGGTACATCAGAATACGATAATATCTATATAGTTTTTTATGGGCAATAAAATGTATAAGTATAGTATAAATGATAAAACATTTAATTACTATATTATATGATATACGTCTGTTACATCTAAAGTTGAAATAATAAAAATAAATCCGTTAGATCGCAAATAATCCTCACATTTTTTTTTTTAATTCCTTAGTGTTACTCTTTTTATCGAGGGTCAGTGATGGCAGCTAACCTAATTATGACGATCAAGCAATTTCCTTTGATAAGCCTTATATGGGTTAAAATAATAAAATTATCATATTATAGGTTTTGGAATTGAGGTGTATATTGAACTATGATTATAAACTATATAAAGTTACGAGTGTCGGAGTATGACAATTGCTATTTGCTATAGTATGTGATGTAATCCGGACCGAATACAGTGGAGAGCTATCGATAAAATATCGGTTAGCAATTCAAAGTATTTCTAAGTCCAAAATCGTGGGTATTTTGTTTCATATATGAAAAAAAGGTTATATAACCTTTGCAGGATATAAAATGTTACTATACTAAATAGGCAATATTCATTCCAATTTTAAGTGTGAACTTAAATTAAAAACAAATATAAATTTCACAAGCCAATTTATGAGGACAATTGAAGCAAATATTTAAACACTTTTATTCAGCTTATTTTCTAACTGTTGTAGGAAATTTAAATAAATTTTGTCCAAAACTCTGAGCGAAAAATAGTTTGGAATTTTGGATATTAAAATGACAAATAGGTACATCGTACAAGTGGTTTTATATTATTTATTGCTTACAAACGGATAATATAATTTGGTATGTGGACTGCTTCATGACGTAGTCGACCGCGACGGCGGATCGGCTCTTTGCCAGCGTGTATACGGGTATTAATGTACCACCTTGGCCGAGAATTGAACCATAATAATAATAATAATAATAATAATATAACGGAGGAATGGGTTGTAAATCGTAATTCAAAAATGGGTGAAATGAATGTGTGTATACAAACGCCAACGGTTTTAAAACAGCTTATACAACATATTATAAAAATATGGTCGTAAAATAATATCGAGGCGTGTTGCGATCATCGCGTGGCACACGAACTTGACACAATAATAATCGGTTGAAAATCCCACAGTTTGTTGTGCACGGGCGACAACGACGTGCCGACAAATCGATTAAAAAAAAAAATCTAAATGTCGGTATGTTATTATTGTGGTGTACTCCAAAGTGTGACCTCTTCGTGCATTAGGCGCGTGTATCTATGTATAATGTTAATGCGTTTTTGCGAAATTATTTAAATATATACAGCTATCTAAGACTAGCTAACATATCTGCAGCTTCACAGCGGTAGCTTGCAATAAATCATGATAATGGCATTTTTTTTGGATGATATTAAATTAGTGTATGCGTGTTAAATGTATGTATATTAGCATATTAATATATCTACAGATGATTTATCATTACTACATTATCATTATTAGTTAATTATTCCTAATATACCTAATACCTATATATTATATGATAATATTTAATAATAAACACTTAAACAACTTGAACAAATACCATATTTAGTTGCATCATAATGCTTGTAATTGTAGTTTTTAATAAAAAAAAAAATGCAACGATTTAATTTAAAAGTATCGTCATATTATTTACTAAACAGTAAACGTTTTCGTGGGCTTGAAATCACATTAGTTTTTATTATTTTCATATGCGAGTTTTCCAATAATATTGCGATACTTTTTTCCGTGAGTGATTCGAAGCGACTTACGATTACGTAAGTACCTAAAATTGCTTGAGCCAAAAACATTATTTTGTAGTGTATTATATAAACATGAACAATCACTAAAATGAAGCCCCTAGAGTAAAAGGTAATACTTCAAAAAAGCCAATTCAGAGTTTTATTTAATAATACAGCACATATAAATAATATTGAAAATATTAAGTCAATAAAAATGATAAGATAAAAATATTTATTAATTATTAACAATAGGCAATAGTGCTATCGATTATTTATATAGATGATATTTCTTTTCAAATCAATTATTTGACAAATTGTTTCCTTTGATGTGCCGTCATGTTGTTTTTTTTTTCTACCGATGGCATAATAAATTATCCAAACCCATATTAGTAATAACATCAAGTTCTACAACATACCTGAAGGCTGAAACTGCAGTTAATAATTATTGTTATTAACATAATATTATATGGATAGCAAGTGGCACGCGACGGTATCGGTAAATTATTAAAACTGATTAATCTCAATAAGGAATGACAGTAATTCACAATCAAAAATAGACTCACGGCAGACATCATTGATTGAGTAGAATATGTTAATAGTTATTATAGTCGAGTAAATATTATAATGTACATTTAGGTACAAAAACTGACAAAATTCATGATGAGAATAAATAATAGTTTTCAAAATCTGAGTTAAGGCAAATTTTAGTATTATTTGTATATACATGTCTAATAGTTTAATACAAATAATTAGCTTACGAACATTTCTTCAGTATTAATAACATTATAGAAAAAACGTGATGTTTATTACAGAAAAAAAAACAAAAATAAAAGAGCGGGCATTCATTGCAAATTAATGTAAAACAAAAAATAAAACTTTATCATACAACCACCTGCATTGGTAAGAAGCCTGTACAGGCCACGGGTGTTTTCGATATGTGCAACTGGGAGGAAATAAGTATTAATATTAATATTAAGCGTTCTCGAAACGCAAAGTAGGTACAGTGTTTTTGTTCCGACATTTTGAATATTTAAAACTTTGAGAAATCATGAAAAAAAACCTACTTCATTTAATTTTTAACCAATGGAAATGTAATGTTTTTTGACACTATGGACAGAAATAATTCACCTGACTTGACTAAATATAAAAATATCACATCAGTCATCAGTTATTTATAAAACCGATCTCACACTATCCGGAATCTAAAGTAGATTGTAATTTAATACACTGTTAGCTTTAAAATTATAATCGGTATAAGGTCATACCGCGGAATAAATTTAATTTAAGTCATACAGACATTATGATTAATTTGTTAAACTAAAATATTATGTAACGATAGCCGATAAAAACCACTATTATTATTTGTAGTGTAGGTACCTAGGTATAAACTACACAGAGAACGGGTATATTTTATCAGCAATCATAAATTAACTTAATACAAATTTGATGGGATTAAAGCCTTAGCATAAATTGACGGGTTTGTAACGAACAATTTGAATTACCATTTCTTTAAGACCTCAATATGCCTGTTATTCGAGCAATAATTCGCATTCGTGTTCGCCAAACTCGTGTCCCGTCTACATTTTATACAACGGTACACAGTTGCGATTCTAGGTCTTATATAGTGGTGCATATAAATACTTGCAAGGGAATAATTTAAAAAAGAGCAATGCCGCCATTGCAGGTATGATTTGTCAATTTAGATAGTTATCTACATTTTACATAATATTTGAAATGAAAAATTCACTGAAAATATTATTCACGGTTAAAATATTAGAAAAATAATAATAGCTACAATTATTATATTTATTTATATAAATTCATAAAAGGGACATTTTTGAAATTATAATTTGTATACGGATGAATTACATTCAAGACGAGATAAATATATGTTTTGACATTTTATAAAAATTATTTTTATTCGTTTTAGCGTTTATCCTATTATATTTTACTCTTATTTTACGGCGATCTTCGTGCCAACTTCAAATATGATTTGTTTCTTCGACATTTTGTGTCCGTATATTTTGTGTGGTCATTGGTCACCATAATATTATAATACATATAAAAATCTACAACTCAGCCATTACTATTTTTACAAGGTATTTTTCGTTTTTATTTTCATCGAATGAGTTTCGAAACGTTTTTCCATACCTACGCATGCGCCCGCGAATCAAAATATATTATAATCCCTGCACACACATACTTCTGTTTCTCCTTGCCCAACTTCCTCAATAATAAAAAAATTGACGATTTGACGAACATTTGCTAATCGATTCTTTTCCACAGACGTGAAATGTTCGATGGAAACTTGTGTCGGAGTGAGCAGCGGTACGGCGTCGCTGGTCGACGGCATCGTAGCCGCAGAACGCGATTACCCGTCATCGGTGGGAAGTAGAGGCTACAAACAATCGACCGGAACGTCCGCGGAACCGTTGAACAGCGGAAACTGCAGGTGTCAGTGCATACAACCCATGCCCGTGTTCAGGGACGACTTACGGATATGTGTTGACGATCTGCAAGGTGAGTGCATTTTATGACGCTGCAGCGTGCAGCCTGCAGATTTCGTTTTTTAGCAAGTATTATATGAAATGAATTTTTTTGGTTTACCTAATCACATTTTTAATACGATTATACGTAATAGTGGGAATGCATCGTGAACATACGATTTTTTACTTAACCAAAAAAATTATTTTCCTTCAATACCGACAGTGAATATCAAAATTTTTAGTATCAAATCCCTAGTTCTTCCAAATCTACTCTACGAAACTGTAAACAAAGACTTAACTATAAATATAGATAGTTATTTACAGTAGTATATTATATTATATACTATACTAAACGTGCGACATTTTCTTTTACTCGCGTACAATACCTAATACAATTATTGTATAGTAACGGGCGACGATGAACCTTATTGAACACTGCCACGGAATATTAGTTTCGACAGTTTTGTAGGTATACAAACATAATAGCAAAAAAATAAAATAACATTTTATCTGGCAGTGGGCAAATAAACCGTGAAAAATTCAATCGGCCGTGTTATATATCAACATGCGTATAGAGAAATCCAAGTATCCGACAAGAAACAATATGTGTACGGAAGACGTAAATATTTTAAAATATAAAAACGCTAACCTAGTAACACGGATTCGATGAATCGAACGTGGATCAATAATTATTAATTTGCACTCGCAATTTTGTTATTTAAGAATAAAATATCTATGTATCTAACCTAATAAAGAATCATTTTTTGATAATTACATGGTTTTGATAATTTTTACAATAATTTAAAAAAAATAATTGAAACTATGACGAATAGTAAGATAGGTATCAAAATTTAAAAACTGTTGTTTTTTTGTTGTGTATTCCGAGTTATAAATATCATAATATGGGAGTTATATCATATGATTGCTTTTATAGTTGTATACCATGCACACATTCAAACCACGAATGCAATGCTTTCCGATAATCATTGGTAAGGCTTGTGATATTATTTAAACAGATTTTTCATTTAATGTTTGACATTGGTGGTGACTTAACCCCTGTTCTCTTTTTAAAACCTAATGTTATTTTGTCTACGAAAAATTTAACAACAAACGCAAATGTCATAGTTTTAAAAATAATTTTGACTGTAATTTATAAGTAGGTATAAGTAAAAAATTCAATTCGAATTAAAAACGAAATTCGTGATAAACATTTAGCATAATATAAAAACTGAAACCGTAACCAAATAAGTTGGCGCTATATATTGACCCATAATTCAAATGTACATTACTAACAATTATACGGTGTATATAATAAACTCCGTCACGCATTCCAAACAATAAGTCCTCATTTGTAAATTTTCTTGAATTTATTTGAATATTTTCCCAGTAAATAGTCAGAGCGATATTTCGTTTGGATTTATTTTGTGAGTTTTTTAAATTATATTTTCAATTGTTTGCTTGTCATGTTGGACACATGAATACATTTTCGTTATCATAAATAATAACCTATATTATTATTATACAGCTTGAGATTTTTTCATTTAATTAGATTATTTTTAGCTCACGTTATTCAATAATTTTCGAAAACGAAAGCCGGACCACGTGTGTAGTTTAGTATCCATTAGTTTTCATTTCACTATTTTAATAAAACATAGATTTATTACAGCCCTAAAATATTGTTTTATAACCCAAAAGCTACAGAATCGTTGTATGAAAGAAAATCGGTAACATGCTATTATCTGAGATGTGATCATCGTTACCGTGCCAAAGAGAAGTAAACCATGACCTTTAAGACATTTACAGACAGAAAAACTCACAGCAGTTTCAAATCTTCAAATACTTCAACAAGTGCATTGATCCCGATAAACATAATTTTATTATTATTTATGAAAAATGTTAAATGGTCCTATTAAGTTTAAATTATTTATGTACCTACGTGTAAATCAAGTCAATGGTCACGTCATCAAGGTTTTCTTCTTAAAAATTGTTTTAAAAAAACACAATTTCAACTATAGTATAAAAAACAATTGGTTAAGCTCGTATAATGAACACATAATAATGTAATATAACATATTAATATACTATATTACTTTATTATCTATAATAATATATTATAGGTACTATGCATAATATATATAAATATCCAAATAGGTATATAGGTATATAGGTACCTACCGGATGATTCCTTTAACTCAAGACAATCACTGTTTCAAAAGTATTAATGTTTTTGAAAATATTTTTTTACATGATTTCAAGTCGGTACTCGTTACAAAACAACTTTTATTTTAAAAAACTATTTACTTTTTTGAATGACAATATATTAAGTTTTAATTTCGTCGTCTTCGAAAGCAGAATATTTTTCTGAGCATCTCGATACATAAAAATCGAATTTAAAACGAGAAAGTTGATGAGTTATAATTTATAAGTATTTAAAATGTGTATGAGCGGTAAGCGCTATTAACCACAAAATGTTAGTCTACAACTTCACTCATTTCAACTTTAAACACTTAAATTCCATTTAAATGTATCGAAATATTTACTAAAATATTCTGCTTTGAAATATAAAATCAAAACTGTATTTTGTCATTCAAAAAAGTAAAGAATTTAAAAAAATGATGATGATAAAAAATATCTATATTCATATACTTATATATTATATAAACCTATATTATATTTATTTTTAATGTTGTTTTTCAAAGACTAGAGGCCATGTATAAAATGTTTTTTAAAAACATTAATACTTTTTAAAATAATGAGTGGTTCATGATAACAGAATCACCAGGTATATAACACATAATATTATAGTTGGTCTGCAAACATTATTTCGGTCATATACTTCAAAGCCAATCACATAAAAATAATGTTTTTAGAACAAATTATTAAACAACAGACTACATACGGACAAAACCGATACCCTTTCAGTCCCTAGATTCTCCACCACATTCTTGTATTATAAATTTTGACAGCATTGATTAAGCTGACAATCATTAATAATACTATTAAGTGTTTTCGATAAAGTAGAAAATATGTCACTATCAGCCGACGCGCACGACAGAGACTTTGGAAGACATGCATGTTGACTTAAACGTCTTATTTAATTATAAAGCTATTCATTTTTGTTTTCTTACTACTTCGAAGAAATAATGTAGAGAAAAATGTTTATAAACGACGTAATATATAAATTATAATATAGGGACGTCTATATAAAGCCGCCGATTGTGAACGACTAACTGTAGAATTTACATTTAATTTGAGTCGTAAAAATACATTTATGCATTGCCTGTAATCCTGCCTATTTTATTGGCTTGTTTATTATCATATAGGTACCTATCCGAAGGCTGATGAACCGTTAATCAGAATTATTTTAACATCGACCTAAACTATATAGGAAACTACAGGAACACATCATAACTTTTCTAGATTCTATTAAAATACAAATTTTCTGCATCTCAAAATTGCAATTAAATTACCAATGGGCAATAATAGTTGAAATTTATTGAAAAAAATTACTCGTTATTATTCGAATATATATTAATATTATTAAATTATTATACGCACAACTTGTATTCCGTCATTACCAGACGATAAAATAGTAAATTATATGTATCTTATGTTAAAGCAAATTCTAGTTGACAGTTCATAGGGTTCGTAAATAACAACCGCGTTTATTAATAACACACTAAAAATGCCTTAAAGATCTTTGTTTTAAATGTAATTTTTATTGTTTAACTGTTCACAGAATGTTCGTTAGCTTCATTCGTGTCTGGCACAACGGTACAAAAGATACCTTACGTATTTCTACCACTACAAGGACAAATCGTGTATCCTAGTGCTGAAATTAAAATTACTGGTACGTATTTCATTTTGGATAATATTATATTAACTGTCGTTTCAAAATGGACGCAGAAAAGCATGAAAATACAAGTTTTACTTGTTTTGTTTTATAACAAATTCCCTATAAATACATTAAATACAAATCAAACTATCTTAACCTACCATATTTATATTAGGAATATAAAATTAAATATATTTACAAATATATACTCAGTATAATTGCATAATACTATTTCAGCTGATATTTTTGGTCAGAAATAGATAATAAACATTTTTTGTTGGGTAGTTGGTTAATATTTGAATGTGCAGTCAATAGTAAACAGATACACTAAATAGTCACTAAAATGAAGTAATTAATATTAGGAAGATGTAGCATTTGCTGTCCTTGTCTACCTATAAGAGCGTAAAAAATGATTGCAGTTCACGTTTGGCAATTTGGCATCATTAGTTTTGTTATTAAAGCGAATAGGCGGTCTATATTTTCAAACCTAAGGTAACATAATACATTTTTCTGTGATTTTTTGATATTTTAATATTTCACACTGAACTCATAACTCACTTCAAAATTTAAATATTGAAACTATGTTTTCAACAAACCACAGAAAATGTTGTTAAACTATTAGGTTTCATATTAGGCCAATTCACACTAATATTAAAACTAACGAAGCTCAACGTGAGCTGTTAAAAGTAAATTGTTAATACTGACTCTATGCAACTTTTGAAACAGAGCAAATTATATACTTTATTACTTTAGGGTTTTGAGTTTATAGAAATATAGAATATAATGAAGGTAGGAATATATTTTTAATATTCGATGTGTAAAAAAATGAGGTGTTTAAGAATCAGAGTATCCTGGCACCATATATGTAGCCATGTAGGTATCTGGTATAGTATATTATATTATTTTTAAATTCTTAAACAAACATTGAAGTTGAATTATTAAGGTAATATGTATGTTCTGCTGTAAGTCCCTATGTAATATTTCTATATATATGAGCGCATATATTATCTTACCTATCTGGCTATCCAATATGTACCTAATGAAGACATTTTGCTCACTATTGTTTCTAAAAGTAATTTTTTACAGTACGGGACGAACCCGAGATACGAATGGAACAATAATAAAATTCCTTATGGAAACCAGTTTCAAATTGTGTAATAATATAATGTTTGATTGAAAAGGGGAATACAAATAGTAAATTTATATAAATATAATATATTATTAGAGTGAAAAACATAATCATGATAATTTAGAAGTTTTTTGATATTACACGGTTTTTATGCGTATGGAATGCACGTGTCAGTCCTGAGGGTTTATAATATGTACCTAGGATATAATATAGGTACGTCTTATTTGCTGTAGATATAAATATTTACTTTAAAAGCGTTACAACTGAACTTATTTAGCCAGATTCAAATTACCGAGTTGATTTCTGCGCGTGAAACCTACTCGTTAATTTACAAAGCCTCGTGGCATCTATTTAACTTAATACCTACCATACTTAAATATAACTGTCCACGGTTATTTAGTATTTACAACGAATACAAATCCAAAGATAGATATTTTGTATTATTTTAGTTGTAAATAGATTATTACCAATTAAAACCAATTGTAATTTGTGGCTCACGAGTAGGTACTAGTTTTACCATCGTTGAAAATAAAACAACTTATAAGTTGAAATATTCATGTATTTAGCTGGGAGCAACAATTATTTACTAATCAAATTGCCAGTGTGGAAAAGGTCACAGGTGCCAATATGTCGTTTATCTTACTCATAAATCATCACTTTTGTGTCATTATAGCTGTGTTTTTTACTTGATAAAATATAGATGAACTACTTTGCCATTTCGGCTTTCCGAGCCACTACACAATGTATAATGTAATAATAATAAATTATTTTAATTCTCATTAAACTATTCTTCGACATTTTTTTAAAGATTTAGACACTAAAATAAATTTGAATGAAAGTCTAACTCCAGGTTGAAATTTATACAATACGAATAATTAAGTAATCAATTTACTGTTTTCATCCTAAACCATCTTTTTTTCAAAAACAAATAAGGCATCTATACGCTAATACGGTATAACATAAGAATAATTAAAGTACCTAATAAGAGATGATTAAAAAAAAGCAGAATATTATTAGAAAAATGTATTTAATCATAATATAATTACATGGTATTGTTTTACAGGTATGCAATATCCTATTTGTGCTATTTCAAAGGCAAAATATTTAACTAGAGGAGGTTGGTTAAATTTTAAAAACCAATCGGACTTCGAAATCCCTTTCCAAATACACCGCGAAAATGGACACATAATGTTATTGGTAAGTTCATTAGTATTTATTTCTGTTATCGATAAGCTCTGGTCTTATACATTTAAAAGTTAAAACATATAAATAAAGATAAATAACAATTTTTTTTTATTTACCGATACCTTTTTTTAATAATTCAAATGGGATAAACTATATGTCTATACAGTTCAACATAGTTCTGACAATTAAATAGTGTTTCTAAATATAGGAACTATAAATATATAACAACGTAATATAAATATATATATATTACACACATACACCAAATAATCATTAGGATACCTAAGATAAACTGCTTTATTTAAAGACACCAAAACTTTGAACAAGATGTTTAAAACAAATAATTATTTTAAGTTACGACAATACGGATTTAGAACGTCGAACAACGATACACGATTATTATGTAAATAGATAAAATCTAGTTCCTATAGCATATATACCGGATTTTCTTCTTTTATTAATTGGTAGGAAACCAACAATAAATAATGAATAATAAATAAATAAATAATAAATTATATGGACGAGTGTACGACCATTTGATCAATGGTTTAAACTTGCTTAAATAGCAAATAATTTCTTGTTTTAAAAAAAATATATTGTACAATGATATTTTATAATTTATTATTAGATCTTTTAAAATTTAAATTACTGAAGTTTCGACGTTAAAAATTATTTGAATAACATGGGTACTTGTAAGTCGTAACAATAATATTTATTAAATGACATTTAACAAACAAATTACTTCAACTGTATCCCGTGGTGTTAATGAGAAAATTATACAAATATTTTTACGAACAATATTATTATTAAACTGTTTTATATTCTTTCCTATTTTTGTATCTTTATATACAACTAATGCAGTATAAATAAAAAATATATCGAGAGTACTGAGTGTTTAAATACAAACATAAATTACTTTAAAACAGTTGTACGTTATAACCTTAATTGGTAAATTATATAAAATCTCAAATATTCTTGGTGTAAAATAAAATAATAATCAGAAATTGATAGTTAGTATACATATTATTTCAATACTTGTGAAAAGCCTATTGCAGTTATTTATGTATTGAATATATTTTTTAGTGGTTAGGTGATTTACAATCAAGGACTAACATTGAAGGGAGACTAGTATTGATCGAAATGATTTGTAAAGAAACATTATCACAAGACTATGACAACAGTTTTCATCAAGCCACAACACCTTGCCTTTCATTTAGAATAGCAGGAACTCCAAGTAATTAAAAAAATAATAAAAATTTTGTAACAATGATTTTTAATAAATTACATAATCTGATACAGGTGTAAAAGAAGTTTTATTTTCAACTGACATTCGATCATCAGATAATGCTTCTAGTTCAGGATTAACAATAAGTGAACTAATAGCTGTGGCAATTTGTTCTATTCTATTAGGATTAATGTACGTAGCATCTATTTTGTTGTACTTGCATGTCCGTAAAGGGAGACCTAAGAGACAAAATGGAGATATAGAAGCGTTTAAAAATCCATTAATGTCAAATGGTATAACTGAAGAGGGCATAGTAAAAAACAACCCTCTGCTACAACATAGTTACAATGATAACGAGGCTTTTGAGTCAGACGAAGACAGAAATTATAGTATAAGTACACAAGGAGAACCTTCTATGGATATGATGGAAAATAATAATATTAATGTAAGTACCTAAAGTAATTGAAATAAAAAATAACCCTACTAAATTAATTACTAATAGAACTAATGTATGTATTTATTACAGAGAAATTTAACAACGGCTATTGTACACCCTATTCAGTCGTTTAACTCGTGTATTGGCCATTCAATGTACTATTCAGATTCAAATTCCATAGAAAAACATCCAGAAGAGGATATTTCAATAGTAGAAACATTGGATAACAAAGAAGATCGACCAGATAATATCAGATCAATAGTGTGTGCTAACCCAAGAAAAAAACTTTACTTCAATCCAGACTATTTTGAACTTGAATTATTAATGGTAAAAAAACGATTCATTTAAATTAATTAAATAAGTATAAAAAATAAAAATAGTTCAATAATTTCAGAAATAAATAATTATTTTTAGGCTCCTCCACCAGCAGCGTTAGAATTTTTAGAAAAAATTCGTGAAGTGATACACGAAGCAAAAAGAAAAATAGTGATGAAAAAATTCACACCAAATCTTATTGCGATTCTTGAAGATGCAAATGAAGACACAAATGAACCATTAAGTTCTTGCAATAAATGCAAGACTCAATTTAAAATTAAATCAGCTACAATACAAAAATGGTTGATGAATGTACCTATAGAAGTTACCAAGCCCAAGAAAAATCAAGCTCCTTGTATTCCCGTTGAGATAAAAGCAAAAGATGGTGTTAAGGATGGAATCGACTTGCAACTTAAGGAAAACGAATTAAAATCAAAAACTAATAATATAGAAGAAAACAAAGAAGAAGAAGAAGAAGAAGTAATAGTAGAAGAAGAAGACAACGACGATGACGATGATGAAGAAGAGGGTACTAACATTGAGTGCGATAGTTTGGAAAGATCGATGAATCACAGGCAAAAATGTGGATATCATACACCATCAGAGTACGGATTCGTTAGACCAGACCTAAGTCCAGTATTAAGTAATTCTGCTTTACCAATGGATGAAGAACTTACCATTAGAACCACATACACTTATGATACTATCACAAAAAGAGAAAGCTATTATGAACATATATCTGGTCCAGACTGTATACGAGAAAAACCTAAAAAGGAAATCTTACCCGATATACTCAATAGGTCATCTGAACGTTATAGTTTAGTTAGCGAAGTATATGTAAATGATAACTTTAATACTAGTATGTCACCTAATAATTCACTGGACAAAAAAATTAAAAAGAAGAGTCCAGGTCAAATAACTATTGAAGTTGAAGACTGTCCCGATAATCATCCAGCAGAAGATTCCGACAGTTTTGAACCAGATACATTAGATAGAAACTGTACAAAAATAAAACCAAACTTGAAAGCAGTGTACTCTTCAGACTCATTAGAGCAATTCAATAGTTCTAAAAGCATAAATAATAATGGATTTGGTAGTTTATTAGAGATATACGAAGCCAAGAATGTCATGGCTGATGTGCAAAAGAGAAGGAATATGAGCCAACTTGAGGCCCAATACTTAAAACCAGATCCAAAACACTGTCGAAGGCAAAGATGTCCATCGCCCTTGTCTGTACAAAAGCCTCCAAAAAACGTCTGTGTCAGAAGCACTAGCAAACCCGGAGTCAAGCAATTCAATTGCACTAGCTCACAATTCAACCAGCGAACCCACAATATCATGGCTGGTGCTTCTGACAAACAAGCAGTCAAAGTTCAATCAAGTTCGCCAATTGATCATAACAGATATGAAGACTCCGGGTATCTTAGTACTGAATCTAACGAATCTCTCAACAAAGTGGTGGCTACTAGTTTAGATACAGATGAATCTGGGGCAGAAAGCATAGACACAGATTTCAAATTTTTTAAATCACGTACAGACCGTAATTACTGTGATTGGTAATCATTATTTATCCAAAGATATAGTTTTTATCAATTTATTTTTAATTAGTTAATATAAGTACCAAAAATTAGATTTATTTGTAAATATTCATAGAACAACATTTAAAACAATTTCTATATAATAAAAAATAAGAGGTTAGGTAATTGATCAAAAATCAGTATCATTTAAATCAATTAGGCATATCTTCATTCATTACAAAATAATAACTTTTAGAAAATATACCCTATGACAGAAACATTTTTTGTTAACATCAATATAGTAACTATTAATATTAATATAAACAGTAAGAATGTATAGTTATCATATGATGCTGATTAAAATACTTTCCAGAGATAATCTTAAGATTTTCTTTAACAAATATTAATATTGACTTTTAAACAAAACTAAACATTGAAAATATTTTTTATACATCAACCGAATTAAATAAATTCCAAAGTTACAAAAATAATAGATATTATGGTTTTTAGACAATTAAGTAGCAATATATTTTAATGAAGGAACCACACATCTTTAAATTTGTATATCCTTATCTTTTTAAACATAAAAATAAAAATGTGTTCAAAATGAAACAAATATATTATATATATAATTATGATATAATATATTATGTATCCAAAAACTGTAAATAAAAAATGTGAAAAAATGTTTTCATATGAGGCTGGATTGAGTGCAATTATAGATTATTTTAATCACCTATTATTAAGGTTTAATTATTTAGATATAGTATTATAATTTATAAGCTTTACATATAAATCAATATCAATTTATGTTTAATAGGATGTTAGAGCACTGTTCGTTTTCTCTCTTTGGCACATGTGAAACCACAAAATATTAATTTTACACTCAACAGATCCATTCTTATGTTAGATTTAATATTAAGAGTGATTTGACCTTTTATCTGACATAATTCAACAATATTATCTGTGTTTCATGTTTTTCATTCAAGATATTTCAAATATTCTATGCTATATGAGCATTGAGCATTTTTTTAAAGTAATATTATACATACACAAAAAATTGAAATATCTTAAAATATATAGGTATAATGTTCCTAACTTTAAGTTTAATCATAGTTAATTCTTAAAAAAAAATTAAATCAAAGGTTAATTAACTCTAATATTAGAGCCAACAACATAAGATTGTTTCTGCTGAATGCAAATTTACTATTTAGTGCGTAGGTCAAACAGAATACAAATAGTGCCCTCAAATCATATTTAAATTGTTATTATAATTACTAGGTTTACATGGTTGTATATTTGAATGTTCATAAAAGTGTCAGGCTTATTAAAACTTTAAATTATTGTCATTCCAAAAATTTCAAAAGATGAAACAATACAAATAATAAAAAATGATAAATTTTTTAATGTAGCAATTTTTTATGAAATGCATTTATCAATTTACATTCTCTTTTCCATTAATTTTAAATTTTATTGATACGCCACACTTGGTGATAACTAGAGACCGGAGTTATATGTACAAAAATGGTGCAAATATGCATAATCAAAATAGCAAAATATGCTCCTATATGCACACAAAAATCAAAATATGCAGTACTCACATTAAAAATATGGACCAAAATAAAAAAAAAGTTAAAACATTCTTTTTTTTATCTAATACGGAGTATTATTAATACATGCCTCTCAAAAGTCTCAAATACACATCAATATGCAAAATAAGTTTTGTTGATAAAATCAGGTTGATTTGAAACGCCCACATTTTGAACCCTCAAAGTTGTGCACACTCTCAGTATAAATATAATTCCAGTCTCTAGTAATAATATATAAGTTGATGGTTAATCTACCTACAGTAAAATTGTATATTTTTATTTTATTATTTATTTAGAAACATACTAAAACAACTGTTTTATAAATCAAAATATTATTCTATTATCTAAAATGAGAATAATATGACGCTGACTACTAATGATATTAAGATATTTTTTTTATATTAATGGACTGATATATTTTTCATAACTTTGTCACTTAATAATGATAGCTATACATATAAATTATGCTGTATGTTTAAATTTAAAAGCCACTTAAAAAAACTTAACTTATTATTTATTTCTTGATTTTATTATAAAAATAATATCCAATTGCTTCAATTATTTTATGTCTTACTTGTCATAATTGAGTCATGTAATCACTTTATAACTTTGGGTTAAAACAAATCATCAAATATAGTAATTATTTGTAGATACTTTTATTGGTATCTTTCAGTCCAATTAATATATTATTAGAGCTGTTAAGAAAAATGACTGACATATAGTTGTAGGTTCTATTTATAAATTATTTATTTAATCCAGAAATACATTTTTATTTTTATCTACAAATAAAAATGTAAAATGGAATAAAAGTGGAATATAAACTTTTATAGTATGATTTATTTAAATTATAATTTTAATTACAGTATTTACATTTTACATGTGACTTGATACTTTTATATTTAAGAAATCAAGCAACCTTATAAAATTATTATACTTAAATCTTGTATTTCATTGGCAATGTAATACATTAATACAATTATAATACATATCATTTCCTGTAAAAATTAGTTTTAAATGTATTAAGTATACTGTATAATTAAGAAACAATGCAAAATTATTACATTTAATTATTGTACTTTTTGTAGTAATATTTTATTAATTATTACTATACCTATTACCTATTGAAAAAACAATTAATTTAAGTAAATACATTTAGTTAAGTTAAATTGAACATTAATTATGAATTATTTAATATAATGTAAATAATGAAAAAGTTAATGTATAAATATTTTTATTGTTAAGTTTTATTGTTAGATATTATCATGTTTATGTTGTGTTTAATTATTAATGTTGTGAATAAATTGAGTTGATCTTTCTCCTATACATTATATATTTGTTGATAAACTATTGAAATATTCTATTATTTGCAGAATTTAAGTGACAAAAAAAAATTATATCACAATAAACAGAAAACAAAACATTTGTGGAATCTGCTTGACAGGTTGTTCTGTACATAGTTATGTTAAGAAATGTGTAGAAAGAATGCAATGGCAAATAATATATTTATAACTTATATACCTACGTTCAACATTAACAAAATATTAAATATATTTGTTATGTAATAAGCAATCAACATCAGTTTTTAGTGCAATAAAGTGCAAGTTTACATAGAACTTACCAATTTACAACGAGTGATATTCCATTGATCTCTTGGTATTATTATTTGTTTATTCAAATATCTTTTAAAAATATTTCGAAGTTCCTTTAGATCTATCATAACTGTATCAATATTATAATATGTTGGTACTTTAGTATCTAGATGATTAATTATAGTGTGCTCGGATAACATTGTAGTCAGTAATTGAATAAATATTTTTGTGTACCCCAATGAGCTGCAAAATCCGTTAAATTAAAATTAGATATATTTTATTTTGTATAAATTAGTATATAAAGAAATAGGAAACATACTCTGAATACACTTTAAGAATAAACTCTAATGGCGATACTGGATCCAAATAGCATACAACTGTTCTTAACCACGATAAAGAACTGTGAACAAACCATTCATGTTTTACATCAAACTTAAAATTGTTCATAATGATATTTTTTATATCTTTGAGACACACGGAACTCTTAATTTGATAACATGAGACTAATTTGGTGCAACGTAAAGTCACTAAATCTTCAACTACAACAAAATAAATACAACAATGTTAATTGAAAAAGCAAGTTTTAAATAAATGAATCAATATAAATTTTAAAAAAACTCTGTAGAGCTTAAATTAATAAAATAAAAAGAAATAATTTTGATTCTTCTTAAAAATTATTACTTATGACCACAATTTAAGGTAGTACTTAAATCAGTACTTGCTATTTTAGTAACAAGACATTGATACTTATGGTATCATTTATATTATATGAAAAAAACTACAAACATAAATCATACAGGGTGGGGCAGTGGGTTCTGACGATTTATAGAGAACTGTGGTGAGGTACTAAAGTATATAAGATAAACTAGTTTACCGCCAAATTAAAGTTCATGATGTCTAGTTTTACTGTATCCAGTCATCATGGACAGGTGGCCTGTCAATCAGCACGTTTTTGCCGCTACGACATTTATTGAGGGTAATGGAGATATTACCTGGCCTCCACATTCTCCTGATTTCTTTTTGTGGGGTTATATTTTGAAATCTAAAGTATTCACTAATAATCCGCATACACTATTAGAGTTAAAAGAAAACATTAGACAGGATATTACAGCCATCGATCTGCATATCCTACAAAGAGTTATAGACAGTACCTTTGAAAAAACGGATAGCTGACCGTTTACAAAATGACCATTCAAGTAATGTAATTTTTAAAAGTAAAGATTTTTGTTGATAACAAATTAAATTATAATCTTTATGTTGAATAAAATACAATATATTTCATTACTTTGTTTATAATACTTGACTAATACACTACGATTAAAGTTCGTCAGAACTCATTGCCCCGCCTGTATAAACCTAATTTTTTATGAATACAAAAACATTAGTTTTTAAATCTTGTGAGTAATTTAAACAAAAAAAATAATTATTAAATTATTTATAGATAATAAGATATTAAGTTATACATTTTATAGTATGTTATAACAACGAAGCACAATGCCATTGAGAATACAAATTATCGTTAATATTTTAAACAAAATTAATAATTTTTGAGTAACCCTAATAGTATAGTATGTTACAAGTTTAATAAAATATTTTAAAAACGCTTCATATTATTATACATGTGAAAATAATACCTAGTACAAAAGTAATAGTGTGCTTTATTTACATGTACTGTTACATTACTTTTAACCAGACAAAATTAAAATATTATGTGAAATTAACTTTAGTATCTAAAGATATCTTTCAATCATTTAAACACTAGTAAACTTACCAAAAATACCATTTTTAACAAATGTATCAAATTCTTTATTCAAGAATAAATCTGCAGTAACCATAATTTTATCAGGATTAAGGTATTGTATCCCTAGAATACAAATAAAAAAATAATAAGTACATTATACCATCTTGTTAATTTATAATTCAAGGTACCCTAACTTACAACTTACTATCATCATTTTTGTTATTAATGTACACTATGCTATTAACAAAATATGGAAGTGATTTAGTGTTCCAATTATTAATGACAACTATAAAAGAGATTTTTAAATAATATTAAACTAGAATCAAATCATATTCATTAATTATAATATTTAAACAGTATGATTATTTACTAGTAATTATGATTGAACTTTCAGAATTCAAACTCAAGACACTTTTTTCAATACAATTTGAAATGCTAGTACTTGCATTACCACTATAAAAGTTAAAGCCACTTTTATTATTTACAACTGCCCAACATTCATATCGAAATTCGGACCAAATTTGTTCATTGTTTTCTAAAAGTATTAGATTAAAATTTGATACCGGGCTAAGTAAACAGAAACAGTTTAAATTATTTTAATATGTAAAATTAATAAATTATAATTATGCTTTACAATTTTGAAGTGTTTTGAAGAGTAAATCCATACACAAGATTTTCATTAGATAATTTTAGCCAAGAATTTTTGCTTATAACATTTGATAACAATTTAACATCAGAAGTATCATCATTAGATACTTGCATTACAGCACTGATAAAAGATGTAGTTTTTTGTGATATTTTATTTCTCTCGGTGTCGTATAATGTTTTTAAATGCTATAAAATAAAAAACCATATGACCGATTATAACAAACAATTATATCATGATAAATAACTATGCAGTATACTAATATATTCAAATGGATCCTAACGGGTGTTTAAATTTCTTATATTTATAACTTAATTCAATAAGAGGAAATCAATGGAATATGTATTTTCTCTCTCCAACCCACTTGCAATATAGTTAAAATGCAATCACATAAAATCATTAATTTATGATTTTTGAATGATTGTAGAGTAAAATTACAGAAATTTATGAAAGAATTAATGAAGAATAAAGTTGCATAAGCTATGAAGTTCTAAATAATTTTTGTTTTTAACCGAAAAAACTATGTACATTTTGATGAGTAACTTTTAATTGAACATTAATAATATAATATAATAAATAGTTTCAAATATAATACATTACTTGTAATTTGTTTACACAAAATGTATATACAACAGAAGTTTCTTGAGGTATACTATAAAGTTGTTCCTTATTTCCAAAAATATCAATTAATTCAAAACCTTTGTCAGTTCTCAAATAAAGTTGAGGAATTCCTGAATTATTATGATCATGGACAACCATTTCATGAACATTGAAGTATGTTGTAATAATCTAATGATAATAAAGTTAAAAATAAAATGTATTTTAGTAACAAAATATAAATAAAATAGATAATACAAATATAAGTTAGTATACTAGGGTAAATTTGTCGGTGGTTTATGTATCTCAGTTAATTGTATTAGTTGACAATGGTGAAATAGCATTAACATACAATATTTTTCTAAAAATAAAAATAATAAATGAGATGCCTATAAGGAAAAATAAGTTTTGTCACCCATGAAACATTGATGATTATACCATTGAGTATAGTTAATAGAACTACTTTAGTAAAATCCAATCAAAATTATAATATATTGACAATGGTTTTGTTTAATAGAATCAATCACTTTACCTAGTTGCAAGAACAATTACTAAACGTTTAATAAATCAATGGAGAACCAGTGGTCCCTTAAATATGATTTAGTGGCCCATGATTGGTCCATTAAATTTTATTGAACCGTTAAATTAATACATTTCTCATGCGACCCATCATTAAAGTTAAATTCTTGTACCAACATAATCATTAAGAATCAACTAGAATCCACTCCATCAAAATTATACATCTTTTTAATAATGATAAGAATTTTAACTTATTATACCTTAAGACTTGTTTCGTCTTTGACTATTACAACTTTATCATCTCCATGTAAAATATAATAAACTTCAATTTTAGGCTCATTATATACAAGAAATGGTTCTAAATGTTTAACTTCAATCTCTACATTACAATTTTTCATCAGACATCCTTTGAAAAAAGTCATAAGCTTTTTGTCAGTTGTGCAGATCACTGTGTCATTATCACACCCTGAAAATAAAAATGTACAATAATAATGATTATTAAAACGTGGACTAACTACTTAAGAGTTTAATCAACATACACAATGTCATTATATATAACATATTATCCTACCTATTATTCCTTTTATAGCAGCAGTTGTGATATCTTTATATGATTCTGGTATATTTAACATTTGACTCATTGTGAAAGAACAAATCATGTATTAAGTAATATTAAAACTTAAATGATAAGAAATGATTTATATATTGGGATTTGTATTTATATCAATTATTCAATATTTGTAGTTAAATAATGATAAATCTAAAAAATAATAAAAAAATTAGATTAGTATACAAAAAAAAAATAACCAATTTTAACTATAGATAGATACACATTTGGTTAATTGATTAAGATATATACTTTTCTAAAGTAAATACTGTAAAAATAGTCAATATTAATTACCCAAACCGGTCATATTAAAAGAAAGAATTAAATAAATCATAACAAATATAATATAGACTATTTACCATTATTTATTGAACAGGGAACACATCAATATTTGTTATTTTGTAATAATAACATTGTACAACACTAACCACTAACTAAAATAACTATTTTTTATTTACTATTTATTAATACCAGCTACTTAGTAAGTGCTTAAGTTTCATGTGTTTCAAGTTACAACGTTTTAGTATTTTACAGTGTAATTATAGCTAGAACATGACAATGTAACACGATTTATATATTTGAAGTCATGAACTAATATAAATAATAAATACCAAATAAACTGACATATTAATTCTTTATGATGAGTAGCGAGTACATATTACATAATTAATAATACATAATAAAATATCTTAATTCGTGGTTTGTGTTATGAATTCAGAATTGTAGTAAAGTTTAAATTTTAAATTTGATAAGAAAATACTGTTCAGTACACTTATCAGATCTATACCGCTAAACAGGTGACCTTACACCATTAACCAACCACCATTAATCCACAGTAACCATAATCATACCGCGTAATAATTTTTAAAAACCTTACCTATACATATTATTATAGTACCAGAAATCAGAATAATTCCTACCTTTATATATTTTGTATTGTTTTTAAATTTTTTAACTCTATATTCTTATGCAATATACATATTAGAATAAATTATCTGATATAGAAATCTGAAATTGGTGGGGGAGGGGGCTACACACATCGATATAAATTAATGTTGCCATTCTTGCAGTCCTACAATAGCTTAAAAACCAGCGCTGTCAAAATTATAACAATTAAAAAAAATAGTAAACCCAATATCATATATTCATATGATTTAGTACCTATTTCTATCACCCGTGACCTGAGATGAAATCGAATAAATAAACGAAATTGATTAATTTTAAACTTCGTTCCAGGTTGGTATATCCTTGTAAATAATGTTTTTGGAATCGACCTCGACCAAACCTTCCAAAGCATATCTTTTTGTTTGTGAACCCACTGAAATACTGAATTCTGTCTTAAATTATTAATAACTACAGTACATGGGGTCATTCAGCCATTGTTTGTTTGGCAGGCCACTTGACACTACGAATAAACAATAACGAAAAATACGTTGTAATTGCACCTATATTAGGTACCTATAGGCTATAGCAATCTATACAATCTATGGTCAAAATTCTGTTAGAAACTATCGACTCTCATCTATAATCTTTAATATGTTTACTTTTGGTTGAGAGTTGTATTTATTTAGAGCGTTTTAAAGTTTTAATAATTCAAATCAGAGACAATTTATTGCTTATTTACATTTTTAATAATATTAGGTACTAGGATAAAGAAACTAGGAATACATTTTTAGAAGGGTTAATTAAAACGAAGTATATATTGCCATACCGAATTTATTATACACAAAAAAAACATTAGGTATCTTACATGAATAAAGCTCGTATTGATGGGTTGTACAAATTCTATAATTCTATAATAGAATAAACAATTATTTGTAATAATTAGTTATTATAATGATATAATAAAACGATTTATTAAATAATAACAATAACATCAGACATCAGACAGTAGTACAGTACTCATAAGTGTGGGGAGGAAGTAAACGATGGCATAATGGGTCCAGAATGCAGATGTTGACATGGACACAGCGCCATATTTGTGGAAGGACAAATGAGACATTTTCACTGGGCCCGCTCAAAAGAGGGGCCAACCGACTTCAGGCGACAGGTATATAAAATTAATTGTTTTTTTATTTTATCATATTTTGGGGAAAACGAAATAGACTTGGATTTCACTTGGATATTTTGGTGAGTTATGAAGTATAACGGTATTTTTCCCCTAAGTGATATCACAGCAAACCTGAATTTTTACGATGTTATTGACCACTTATCAGAGAAGAAAGCTAGAAAATGTCTGTGAAAGCTGAAATCAAATTTGACTTAAAACATTAAACTTAAAAACATTTACTTTGCTAAAAAGTGTTATGATTAAAAATACTAATTCTTTTTAGAAAAAAAATTTGCTTTTTAATTTGCATACTTACTTGAATAAATATTGAATATTAATAAAACGAATTGGAAGTGTAAAATGTTCTTGTATATTAAATAATCATATTTTTAACAATACAATATTAATTTATGATCCAACTACTCATATAAATTATAAGAAACTAATAACATAGGTACAACATTAATTTAAAAATATATTGTGGACCGGAAATTGTAAATTGTACTTGGGTCCATGAATTAGTAAATCAGGCTCTGCTTGAACACATGGTAAGTATAATTGTGGGCCACTGCAGTCAATTCTAAAAAGTTTTCGCAGCAGATCCCGGTAGGGCACTATAGGCTATAGCTAATACTAATAGGTATGCTACGCCGCCATTTTGCGACTCATTTATCATTGTGGATATGAAATTGGCCGAGTTTATTTTATCATTATTTATATTGATAAACAGTCGCAAAATGGTAGCATAGCATACCCATTATATTATATAGAGCCTTAGGACCTTAGTCCCGGCGGAAGAGTGCTTCGCGGATGGCGTTTGCGAGGGCGAGTGATGACAACCATGTGCACCAGCTCTATTTACTGAAGGTGCGCCACATAAAAAGTGTCTGGCCACTCTCAGAGTATTAATTTTTCGTTATAAGAGTATACGACGTGGTTTTCCTAACCTATAAACACGCTCTCCACTCTCCAGTCTCTACCTAGTTATTTTTAAAATTAAATCAAAAGCGGGCGTGTGTGCTACACGAGACATTTGATACCTAGCCGAGAACCATGAGACATTACGACACATACATAACTTTAACTTATCCCCTTCTTAGATGGTGCATTCAATTTTTAAATTCTTGTTTTTTTCACATATTTTCAACCAACAACCAATTTTCTTAGTTATCATTCTTTTATAACCGGCTTAAACATTCATTTTTAACTCATTGAGGTCTCAAAAAATGTATCGTTCAAATTTTTCTGGGTTTTTTTCCGTTGTTACTTTTTCCAACTTTACCACTTTGTGCATTCAATTCATAAATTCTTTAATAGATTTTACCTTTATTCATAAAAATTCTTAATATCATGTGTTTAAATTAAATGCATGAAGACATTGTGATATCATTTAAGATAAAATATAACTTTTTCTATTAAATAAAAATTGTCTTATCTGAAAATCATAAATACTTTTTTGTTAAATTCATAATTGGTGCAGAGATCTCCTTGACTAAAAAAAAATAAAAAATAAAAATAATAATAATAAGTCAATTGCAAGTATCACTACTGGGTAGCTTCTCCCAACAACCCTTTCACGTCTTTGTATATTAGCCCATATTCTTATTGTGTCTCTGGGTACAGATGGTATATTTCTTATAAAAAAAAAAATAAAAATAAAATTTATAATTAAGTGAAGAATTTAATTTTGTCCCAGGTTTCCTCCATTTTTAAAAAAATATTATTCAAACATAATTATTATTAAATATAAAACAAATTTAAGTTTAATATGTTTTGGTTTGAGTATTTTAGTTTTAAAGTTTTGTAAATAGTTTTATAAATAATATACATATTATGCAATATATATTTTAATATATTTTGTTATTTATATACAATATACATAAGAAAATAAATAAAATAAAATGTATAATATTAAAAGGATGAAATTAATTTTTCTTGGTCTGAAATTTTAATTCCACTCAACCCATTAGATACCTAAGTTAAATATTGTATTCAATATTATTATTTTTAAATTTTAATACATTTTAACTTAGATACGGTACAACTTTATTCTTAGTAATCGTAATGGATTTGTCATTAAAAGCTATAACGTTATGTGTTATAATTTCAAGTTGCATAACCTAGGCTGCTGTCCCTAGAAACTGATAAATATTATAATTACGTCCAAATTTCAACTTAATATAGAAATTAAAAAAACTGGGTTAATATATTTTTTTAGAGTTTTGTTGAAAATATGAACTACTTATGACATAAACTGATTTAAATTTCAATCCAGAGCTATAAAAACTGAACATGTTATGCATTTGTAACTAGGTAAATACCAATTTACAAAATTTTTAATATTTTGATGAATTTTAAAAGAAAATGCCTTTATGTATTTTCAATATTTTTAAACTGTAATTGTAACAATTTATAAGGAACCTAGTGTTACATTTTCATGCTTTTTGACCTAACAAAAATACGTTTATAAAAAAAAACTAAAAAAAATTGAAAAATTGAAAAATTTGTTAATTTTTGTGAATTTTGTCAAAATTATACTTCAGACTTTCATTTTCGACCTCTTAAAAGTACCAACTAAATTTACTGTTCTACAAGAAAAATTTCCGAATTTGGAAGTCAAAGAATTATTTCGACTACTTACCATGTAAAAATAAATACAAAAAAACACCCATCATTGTAAAAACAATATACATTCATCGCCCCGCTCAAAATCTATAATGAGACCTAAAAAAATCTGGAAACTACTTTTTTTTATGTCTCTTTAGCAACTTATGCATAATATAATTGTTATGACACCATAGCGGCATAGCACTACCGTTTATAATTTTTTTTTATTGTAATTTTACATATATTTATCTTTATTTTATATATTTTACATGCATTGGAGAAAATACCAAATATTACACTTGCTATACCGTATCATGTAGTTAAATACCGATAATTTTTAACATCAATGGCAAGATCATTAGTTGTGTCTAATTTCCTACCAGGTATCACCATCATAGTTGAAAATCCAAGCATTTTTACTGCTCCAAATAGTGATAAGAGACATAAAAACACATTGTAAAATTAATACATTCATAGCTCCGCTTAGAAT